GTTCGCCGATGCACATCGTCACTAATGCACTTTATCAAATAGTCAACCATTTTGAAAAAAAAAAAAAAAAAAAAAAAAAACGAGCAAGGAAAAGCGCACGCGAGAGTCAGAGAACGCGAGTGGGAGGGCGCGATAAAAAATATCACGAGCGTTCGCCGATGCACATCGTCACTAATGCACTTTATGGAGCGAGCGTCAAAATATCAACGTCCGGATTTCGAGCACGAGAACCGGGTGCATTTTTTTTTTTTTTTTTTTTTAAATTCAGGTGCCCCTGACGTTTACGATGCGAAATAAGTTTTCATTTACGACTTTACCATGATTGGGAGAGACCCATCGCGCGCGCGCGCGCGCGGCCTTAATTCTCTCTGAGAATTACGTAGAAAAGCATGTAAAAGCGCATGTCGAAAAATTCGATATATCTCTCGGATGGCGTACTAGAGGGAACACGACAAAAAAACGACACATGTATAATTAAAAGTTGAAGGTTGAAACGATATACGCGCGCGCAAAAGGTCACGCTTCGTTATAAAAAAAAAAAAAAGAGGGTGATATTAACGTCCACATAATTATTTATTATAATAAAACAGCGCAGACCTTTATTTCGCCACATCAGATACACATCCCGCCGGTTTTATAAATAAATTGAAACTCGTCGTCGCTATCAACACAGTTAAGAACAGCCGGGAAGCCGGTGAACCGTGTTAAAACACCTCCGCAGTTTTCACCTCGACGACTGTGCTTCCTCGATTTTCGTCGTTCCCGGTTTCCAAGTGGAGGCGTACACGAGGTCAAACGGAAGAACACGAGCGACGAAAGGTCGTCTCTTTCTCTCTCTCTCTCTCTCTCTTTCTCTCTCTCGAGAAAAGGTAGATCTCCCTCGCGGCAAAAAGAACCGCGCGCGGTATCTGAAGATTATTTTCAACGAACACGCGGTCAGAAATCACTCCGAGATGCGCGGTGGTATAAAACAACGTAGCGCGAATATAATAAGAATATCATCTGCTTAAATCCGACACACCGGATGTTAGCGCTTCTATTTATGATATCTTCCAAGGTGTTCTACCTCTGACAAATACACGTCGAGAAATCTCCAAAACATCGGGTTTTATACATACGTTTCTCTCCTCTATTTCCTTTTTCACTTGTTTATCGCGCTCTTCTGATTCTGGAAAGCTCGTCTCTTTCGCGACCTCGCGCTCTCACAGTCCCATCGACCCCACTCTCATTATCTGTCGCGGCGTGTTTCAGTTGATTCGTTGTATCTATTCTCGTTTCCTCCATTCTTTCCCTCTTTTTCTTTCTCTCTCTCTCTCTCTCTCTCTCTCTCTCTCTCTCTCTTTTCCCTCGTACTATATGCTCTTTGCTTCCAGTTCACTGCCTGGCATTCAGAAATATTGATGTCGTAAATCCGAATGTTGAGAGAGAAAGAAAGAGAGAGAGAGAGAGAGAGAGAGATGTTTGGCTTTTATTTTTACACACGCGCGCGCAAGTTTCTTTCTACT